CTATTCCTCAGTACAGCTTGACAAAACTCTCATAGAGGTACTATCTCTTGGTCCTAGGTTTTGCAATGCACGGCGGATGCCGAAGCAGCTAGAGTTAGAAGTCCAATTCGAAAGTCTATTCAGTCAGACTGCCGATCTAAAAGACAAGGGAGACTGAAATGACCATTTTTGGCTTATTATCCGTTTCAGCCAGTCATACCCAACCCCGAAATATGCAATACCTGGGGCCTGATCCCGCAGCCTGTTAGTTAGAAGTCCAACGCCTTTAACCCCTGGGTCACGGGCTCGTTGTCTTATCGGTTGCGATAGGGAACATACAATGGTAGAGGGGCGTTCATCGATCGTTTCCACGGAGCTCACTCGTTTCCTTCTGCCTTACGGGCGCTCTCTCGAACTCAACCAGCAGCTGCACAGCGGCGCATTCTGTCTATATGATGCGCCGCTGTGCGGCTGCTGGCTGGACTCGAGAGAGAACCCGTAAGGCACAAGAGGACGAGTGAGTTCCGTGGAAACAATCGATGGGCATCCCTCTACTGCTCTTCATAAGTTACTCCCAAGAAAATGAATTCTGGCACAATCAAATACTTCCTGCAGGCACTCATGCGACATTATGTCCACATTTGGTTTTCTAATATAAGACGACACAAATATACTATGAAAATGTTTGGACGACACACTGTCCAATATCAACTGAGGTCTGCCATAACTCTGAAGTATATTAAAAAGAAGTCTACAAATCTGTATTTTAGAAGGTTTCAGGCCCAAATGTGCTCAGCTTCTGACAAAAACTCAGAATTTCTCATTATTAATACCTGAGACCGTTTTACGGAAAAGGCTCTTTTTCCGATGCTCATAAACCTTGTTCCTGTATAACGTTCGAATAGCCTATTGTCACATTGCTTTAAGAAATACAAATGGGCAATCCCTGACACACCAACCTATTAGCTTAAAGGATTGAATAAATAGCTAATATACAGCGATTTTCTTCTTAAAGTCTTCCGGAAGCGTCTGTTGGAAGACAACAGTCGTTCGGTTGTTTTGACGAGACCAGCAAGATACAGTCTTGATAACCAGCTTTGTGTTATTTGCTTTCTCGAGTTTCACTGTCTACTGAACAAGCGTCCCAAAGTGCAAGCCCAATCATTCGGCCGATTCCAGTGGAAAGTTACAAATAACTGCAAACCATGCGACATGGAGCATTGCGCAGCTTATTTCTTCGAGATTAGGGTACTGCTAAGTAAAGTCTTCGGTGCGCAGGTCTCCTTTCTAGTTTATGGTTCGGCTGTAGTAAGGCTTACCTGCAAGTACAAGCTTGGTTCTCTGAGCTACTCTGACAGCTAATATTAATCTAAGCACCATTCCCGTAGGCATCTATAATCACGACGTAAACAGACAGACAGTGATTTGTTTGGTGAGCTTTTCCAGTGGTTGATTTTGAACGCTGTGTGGGCAGGCGCCAGTCCTCTGATCATCACACTTCAGGACACTTTTTCCACCGTCTCATACAATCGCTCCAGGACCAACAAATAATAAAGTTGGTTAATTGCGTTGTCATGAGGAACAAATTCGACGTGAATGACTCCTATGATGGACAGGAAACAGCGTTTAGTGTTGGGGCGCTGCGCCCTAAAGTTTGACATCCCAAAATCGCCGAGGGCGTTGGTTGCTGCTGCGAAGGTTCCTGATGAACGTTACTTGGATAACTGAGCAGGAAGTGTCTGGTAAACGTATCTAACGCACAACCAACTCACCTGCCTACCACACTACCACAGTGAAACAGGAAACATGTTGAGCTGAAAAGCTGCTGTTCAAAAATTCTCAAAATGGGAGCAAACAGTGTGTTTAACAGATCTACCACACCCTACATACAGAACCCTGTTGTGCACAGAACTAATAAAGAACGGCAGTGTGAGGTCCCGGAAACTCTGAAATTAAATCCTGGCATGCTGTAGTAGTTGAGCAGTCGGTGAAAAAACAGGTCGGGTGGCATGAATTTGTTCCCAGAGCAATGTACAAGACTCAGCATTTCTGGTGGGTTCTGTCATAAAGACGTTTCCAAACTCCATGCGCCTAGCTAACTGGGGTATTTAGGGCAAAGGGGGTTAGGAAACATTACCAGTGACAGATAGGTAAAAGAGGTGCATTGGCACAGTCGAATCTTATCTTGGACAAAACGACCACCCAACTTTCAAGATGGTTTATATTTCTTTAGTTTAAAACTTTGCGTTAGGCAGAAACTGGGTTAAGATTATTATGCATCAGAGGCGTGTGTCTACCTAACTCCCTTCTCCGCTCAGGATAGGCTTGACCAGTCGGTGTTTAACTGAAAGCAACGCAATGAATGAGCAAGAGATCAAGGTTTTTTCTTGATCGGCGACTTTTGGGGTTGGAAGTCGCCGCGTAAACTTACCAATGCAGATCCAGGATACGGTTAAGTCGAAGGTATTCCACCTCAGCAGTTTCTGCAGAGTTTTGGATTCTCAGTATTTCCATCAAAGAGGTCTATTTTATTTGCCCGTCAGTGAGCTCGAGATTATGACTACTTCATAATACAGCTGCCAAACACTAGCTTTGTCTGTAAGGATGTGAGCTCTCGTCGATGTTCCCAGTAAACCCTTTGAAGGTGTTCGTGGTACATTATGGTTAAATGTCTGCTCCCCGAAAAGTCGATTTGGCAGCGGTGTACTACCAAAGCGAGTTCTCTCATATTTCGTTCGCCAGTAGGTCGGATTATAATTAAGCGTTAAGCTGGCAGGGACTGGGCACCGAATTGCAATGAGAACACCGTCAAACTGCTGCAAATGACCAGATGTTCAAGAACAGGCGATTCACTTTTAAAGGCGAATTACAAGGTCTTTCAGCCTTGGTCAAACTGATCTGCCACGTGTAACGACGCGTACTGTTATGATCCGCTTCCAATGTCCGCATTTACGCCTGACAAAAGGAAGGAAACCTATTCGTGAGAAATAAGAGCCTTTCTGTGACATTGGAATCTCAGGAGTGTTCAGCAGGTAACTCTTTGATTCCTGCACTAGCAAACCCTGTATATAAAGATCTTCCAGTTCTAATAATCCCAGATCTTTTCCGGCGCGTAATAAGAGCCCAGTGATTATCAACTGCAGCGACACACGCCAGACGGCTCCTTTGATGACGGGACCACAAGTTGTTGTCTAGGGGATGACAGATGGCATAAGAAGCACGAAGACACTGGCACTGAAAGCACCCACTCATAATGACTGACTTTTCACGCCAGCTTGTCTTTTTAGAATGGTTTTCCTGGACGCTGAGCATCGGTTCCTTTTGACAGTAGGATGATTCAGACCGAGGGACTTTCAAAGACCGTGTGCTGCAGTTGAAATGCTCGGAGAGCGGTGGAAAGATGATTATCTCCACCAAGATATTTTTTGGCATACCTCTACTCTCTTGCTCATGGATGCGGACACCCGCTGCATTTAGTCTGCAGCGTCACAGTGACGTTGTTATAGCCATGGCGATGTAAGTTTTGAAAGAAGACGCGCGATCGTAATCCAGTTTGTAGTTGTCAGTATCTGGTTATTGTTTTTCTGGCGCGTTAGTTGTCTTCTTACAACATTATCATGCCGTCTAAAAACCTAAAAATCGGATTGCAGGGTAACAGCTGGCCTTCGACGGGTGTTGCAAGTTGCCACCCAGCAGCGTTGGTGTTTGTGGGGAGGGAGCTAGTCTTGAGTTACGGTTATGGAACATTCAGTCTCTTTCCACTTATTTTCCACAATATACGTCTCATCAGGCCGAATTTTAGACCTTAGAAAATCTAGAATTTTTAGTAATCTAGGTTGTATCGACTTTTTTTAAAAGAACAGCAGATGAACTATGACAATCTACTCTGGTCTGCGTTTTGGTCTCATCCCGATTCGAGCATGCGCAAAAATGCGGTTTTTCTCTAGATAGGCGCATACGATTGATAAATGTTATCCGAATAACACTTGCGACCACGGATTTTAGGTCGACGAGGCAGTGGTTTGCCAGCATTTCGAAACCCGTACCAGTGTTTTGTGTCGTACACGTATCAATCACCCTCTAGATGTACGACAAAAACCTTTTATACCAGGACAGCTTCAAAAGTATGCGTGATGGGTCCGCCATATCGACAGAGAAGGTGGAGAAGGCGGAGTACATCACAGAATATCCTATCCACTTGTCGGAGTTGCACCTGACAGTTCGACCATCGGTTTCGATGATGTCCACCGTGTGCCCCACAGTTGCAGCAGCAAT